AAGAGAAATTGTGAACGTTATAATATACAAGCTTACTCATTCAGTTCATCTTTGTCAATATTTTTTTTTTCTATAACAAGAGTAATACACTAATACTAGGAGACTACTACTACTATTACTGCCAACATTATTTCACTATACTGTAAAATTTAAAATAACTTCAACACGAGTTGTTATAAGGAAATAGTGAGCCATAGATTTATTATTCCCATCATGACTCATTTTAACATGCTCAAAACTGGAGCTTGGGAATTTCTTGAAACCACTTGCAGTTTGAAAAGTAATGATGCGTCTTGAACAATTCTGAAGGATCCCTCTTCACAGTAACCTGGAGAAGCATTTGAAACTCGGCTGGAGCAGGGAGTATAAAACAGAAAAAGTTCAGACACGTCTTCTCTTCTGTTAGCCTGCCCCCTCAGGCTTGTGTACTTATGCAATAAGTTGCCTGAGGGATTCACAGGAATACTGAATTTGGATCTTTGACATGGCAGCAAAACATTGACGCCAATACTCCAGTTTACAGATGCACGCTCACTCACAAAACAAAAATCTATAAAATGTAAATAATTTATTCTTAACTTTTTTGGCCAAACTTTCTGTGAGAGTTGTAGCATTACTAAGAGGCTGTCTGAAACATTGTGGAAGAAGAATTTTAATGTGGTTTATTTGAGAGCAAATCGTAAACAGTTAAAGGTGCACTAACAGAACTAACAGAAAAGATACACAGTGCCCGTGGTCTAATCAGACATGTTTTCAGCACAATAACTGTTGAAACAAGCAAAAAGCCAATAGACTAAATATTTCTAAATTTTCTTATTATAAGTTTACTCAAATCCACAAAGAAAAAATACTAAGGTCCTACATCTTGCAGAATTGACTCTTGTGATCTCTAAGCCATGTTATAATTCTGTAACCTCCTCAAAAACATGCCTGAAGATGTGTGTTTTTTTGTTTTTTGTTTGTTTTTTTTCACGTTTGATTAATCCTTTACTACATCTACATCTCCACAGATCAAAATACTCTGTTCCACCTTGTGATGTCATGAAATGGGCGTTTTTAATTTGAAAGCTACCTTTTACCTTTTCCTCATTAGAAATGGGTAATTCCAGGTCTGAAATTATGGAAATGATTCTAATGAAGGTATATGGAGTTTAAAAACACTTCCTGTTTCACTACATGCTTTCTGTTTGAGAGAAAAACTCTGCCAAAATATGCAGGGTTTGTGTGTTAAACATGTGTGAATGAAACAAAACACAACTCCAGGTATGTTTTTGAAGCAGAAACACCATTATAACATTGATCAGAAAATGGCGTAATATGGGCCCTTTAATATTTAACTGTGCGTGATGCAGAATTGTTGGAAGATTATTATGACAATGATCAAACTATACACGTTTGAAAAATGCTTTGAGGGATTTCTCCTCACGTGTGAATTTGGCCCAGAGTTCTGCTGATGTGCCTGTAATATCAAGCCTTTGGCAAGTGTCATGCTGTTTATCTGCCTGTGTCAGAGTGTGCATATTTGTGAACAGTGTGTTTTTCTCACTTCCCACAATGCACTCTGTTGTTTTAGCCCTGAAACAGTGCTGAAAGTGTGGGCTCAGATCTGTCCAGGCAGCTCACAGCATGGAGCACCAGTAGCAGTTATCAACCCAAAAATGTTTGAGAATACACTGCAGGTTTGTCTGTTTGTGTACTCTGACATGTCAAAAACTTTGTGTTAACAGTCAGCTGCAACATGGGAATTAGCTTGTCTACAAATTTGAAAATGGGCAAAGACGTGCCTCTTCACTTCTGAAACGCAACTTTCTAACTCAACTTTTCTGAATCTATAGTGTATCTCTATACAGTGAGTAATACAGATGTATCCATGCATCCATCTATACATTCAGGATTAGCTATATGTCAAATCTTTGAATAATCTGTTCTTACTATGATGTGAAATCACTTGCCGCATGTCAGGACCAGCTACAGATCTTGAGATAGACTTGGTCAAACTACCTGGAGGATTTTCTCTCTCTCTTTCTGTCTGTCTCTGTCTCTGTCTCTCTCTCTCTGACTCTCTCTCTCGCTCACACACACACACACAAAATCATAAAATTATTTTTGTTGATCAGTCATCCTCCAAAAACAAGTTTTACCATCAAAACTCTGAAACTTTGGTCATGTGTTTTTCTGTGCCTCTTTCATTCATTTGACAGTGTTGACAGTGCTGCTCAGAAGCCCTAGTCTGTCTCTCAGGGACCACAGAGAATCACTGGTTTAGTGCAGTCTGTGATTGGGGTTCACAAACACATTTGCTACTGGAGAAGTCTGTATTGTGAAAAAGTTTGTATTGTGTGTGTGTGTGTGTATATATATATATATATATATATATATATATATATATATATATATATATATATATATATTATATATATATATATATATATATAATATATGTGTAATATATATATATACACACAAAATTATATATGACAAAAGTCTTGTCGCTTATCCATTTTGTAGAAACAAAAGCTTATAACTTGACTTTAAATTAATCGATTGGTTTTAGAAATGTCTCATATGAAAGCTAAAACCCTCCCAAATTATGCTCAATATACTAAAAAAATTTAGCTTCACTGAAAAAAAGATTGATCATTTAATGAACACAGAAAGGTCAGATTTTGGCAAGACAAAAGTTTTGTCGCCTTGTCATATGATGCACCCAATCCTAGATTACAGCCTCACCTGTGGTCAGTTACTGATCAGTCAGTTAGTGGGTGTGTATAAAAAGAACCCCAGCACACCAGACCTTCACATCAACTGCAACTTGACCTCTGACAACATGCCTAAGATCCACCCTGAGACCAAAGCATTAATTATCAAGAGGCTGAAGACCAGATCCACTGCTGAGGTGGCTGACACCTTCAATGTGTCTCAGTGTCAAGTACAAAGAATAAGAAAAAGATCTGAAATGAGTGGAGATGTTTTTGACAAACCCAGGTCCAGCAGACCCCGCAAGACAACTGCTCGGGAGGACCGTTTGTTGATTTGAAAATCCACGGCCAACCCCTTTTCCACTGCAGCAGAGCTCCACCAGGCCTGGTCACCTCAAGTCCCTGTGTCAACCTGAACAGTTTGTAGAATCCTGTCTCGAAATGGCCTCCATGGTCGAATCAGTGCACAGAAACCAGCACTAAACAAAAGGCAATTAAAAAAACGTGTGGCATTTGCCAAGGCCCACAGCCTGCTAAAAGGATGGACACTGGAAAAGTGGCAGAAGGTGGATTTCTCAGATGAATCCTCAGTTGAATTACAGCTGCCACAAATATTGCAGGAGACCTACTGGAGCCCACATGGATCCAAGATTCACCCAGAAAACAGTTAAGTTTGGTGGCGGAAAAATCATGGCCTGGGGTTCCATCCATTATGGGAGTGTGCGAGACATTTGCAGGGTGGAAGGCAATATCAATAACCTAAAATATCAAGACATATTAGCTACCTCTTACATTCCCAACCATAAAAGGGGTCAAATTTTGCAGCAGGATGGTGCTCCATCGCATAATTCTATCTCGACATCAAAGTTTCTCAAGGCGAAGAAGATCAAGGTGCTCCAGGACTGGCCAGCCCAGTCACCAGACATGAACATCATTGAGCATGTCTGGGGTAGAATGAAAGAGGAAGCATGGAAGACAAAACCAAAGAATCTTGATGAACTCTGGGAGGCATGTAAGACGCTTTCTTTGCTATTCCTGATGACTTCATCAACAAATTGTATGAATCATTGTGGAACCGCATGGATGTAGTCCTTGAAGCTCATGGAAGTCATACAAGATATTAAATATGGATCTCACAGCACCACTACTTAATTCACTGACGTTATGCAACATATTTTTGTATTTGAAGTACATTATTTGTTCAATTTTCTGTAGGCGACAAAACTTTTGTCTTGCCAAAATCTGACCTTTCTGTGTTTATTAAATGATCAATCTTTTTTCAGTGAAGCAAATTTATTTTAGTTTATTGAGCATAATTTGGGAGGGTTTTAGCTTTCATATGAGACATTTCTAAAACCAATCGATTAATTTAAAGTCAAGTTATAAGCTTTTGTTTCTACAAAATGGATAAGCGACAAGACTTTTGTCAGGGACTGTATATATATAAAATAAATGTACACATGTACACACTACCAATTCCTACTACATTTTGCAGTATTTGATCATCAAAAATATTTATGAGAAAGAGAACTGAAGGACATTGGAACACTACCTTTACATAAGTGTTCTTGAAAATCAGATATCTTATTAGATATATACTGCATGTAGGATCTAAGGCTCTACAGCCTGTATTCTCTAATAAAGCCCTTGTCCCTGTTTGATTCATGTGAAATCCTTTGTTGTTAGATTAATGTGTAGTTTTTGCTGTTATGTTTGAATTCCTATATTGAAAGAGGCAATGTTAGAACCACTGTCCTTTACAGACCTGTAGCACTGAAAAAACAAGGTGTATTCAATGATCATGTGTGTTTCTGAGAGCTGTGTCAAGTGTTCTGAGAAAGAGCCTGAGAACTGTGTAAGCTCATTAAAAAAAAATTCCAAATGATTTGAGTGTCTGTACTTCTGTTCAGATACATGTGTGAACCAAATGATCAAACTAAACCAAGTTTCAAAAAATGTGCTAAAACAATGTGGGCTTTGGGTTGATGGGAGAAAGAGGACAGAGGACACATTACTCCTACTATAAATTTGTTATTAGTTACATATTGTCTTGTAAATAAACTGACTAAATAGATGTCAAATTAGTTAAGTAGATAAAATAGGAATATAAAGAGGTATGAATTAGTAAAAGATATGTTTATAAAGTCAATTGTACAGGTTAAGTGAGGTCATGTGATCAATAACACTGTCTTCTTAATGAGTAAGTAATTATAAAAGCTCTCCCATGCACACACACAGACACACACAGACGCACACACACATGCACACACACATACGCACACACAGAAGTTTGCCTGTTACCTGATGCTGCTCATGCTGCCGGCCTCAGAGCCCAGCTTGCATCGCTCCAGCTGTGTGGCCACAATCTGACGCTCCGCCTCCAGCTCCCTGGTGAGGCGCTCAAACTGCAGCTCCTGGAGAAGCACAAAGAGAAATTTCTGCTCAAATGCATAAAAGAGGTATACATATCTTTTACAGAGATATGAAATAGCCTTTTATCTTCACTGATGAATAATTTGTAGGAGGGCATTTCAAATTACCAGTTTCATCTGAGTTCTTTAGATAAAAATAATGATTTAAAGACAGATTAAAAGGGTGCACAGAATCTGAAAATGCTCCATGCATATGCTTGAATGTGAGATATTCTGGCTCTAACTGATGGTTTAAACTGGTCAAATGTAAAATCAATTCAAGCAAATATCAGCCATTAAATGATACGCTAGAGACACATGGGTCACACCAAGCCACACCCACACTATATGAGGCTTATGCAGATAGCCTTTTTATAAAAATGCATTGTAGATGTTATTGCTTTACATAGAATGTCCCACAGCATGTCATAAAAAATATTTAATGCATGTCAGAATTGTGGAGAGGCAATGCCGCTCACATAAGAACCCTCACTCTAACCTGTAATGAAATAAATATGCTATACAACACTCTAAAATGTCAAGACAAGCCAGTAGCAAACTCCCCACCAGAAAAGTTAGATAGTGCACCATAGTAACCCTGTCACACTAACACATTTTAAAGTGCACATATTGCTGGAGAAAATATAAACAATAAACAACAACACTTTCAAAATTTTACGTCACTAACACAATAAACCTGCAGCAGAATTATCCTCCAAAAACAATCCGAAATATTAAATATGGTTAAAAAAAATGCACACTACAAAAAATAAATAGCAGAATGAAAAAGTTACAAGTAGTTTGTATGTATGATGAGTCATAGAAGTATTTATTCAACCCTCTACAGCTCAAATCAAATCGTAGTACAGAAAAATAAAAAATAAGAAAAAGTACCCATGATTAACACTGACCTCCAGAAATGACTGTTCCAACTTAACATATATTGAACAGTAAGTCAATATACTGTTCATCGTGGCAGGCTTGCATAGTAGTCTGTAACGAACACAGTAGACTAAATACTACAGTAAGTCTGGTTTAATATAGGAAATTTACAACATGAAATCATTGGTGTAAACTTGGGCTTGAAAAAGGCAGCGCCTAAAACAACAAATGAACAATTGTGTATTGATGTAGCTGCACATTTATCACCAATTCACCAAGTTAATGTGATTCCTTTATAAATGTATTAGCAATACCAGACCCAGATGTGCGGGGGGAAAACAAACACGAGATGAATCATAATGCTTCAGTTTCATCTCTTTAAATCATTCAGGCGAGCGGGACTGCGAACAGAATCACAATCGCGCAGTATCATTAAAAACAAATATGCATTCTCCTCATTTATTGAATAGCCCCCTGTGGAGTCGCAGCGAGCGTGGTGACACCGCAGCCCTGACAAAAGCAGCGTATAGCAGCCTCAGTATGAAAGATGTATGACACGAATGTTTCACCAAAGTGGGGCCAGGCTACTCTGAGTGCACTCTGCAGAGGGTCATAAACTCTCTAATGCTTCATTCACAACAAGACAGTGAACGAAGAATGGGGCTGAAAGGACAGGCAAAAACATCCAGCAGAAGGCGAATATGACAAAATGTGTTAAATGATGCTATTATGACGATTTGCATACAATTTTAAGATTCCTCTCTACATAGTGCAAGTGGGGACACGCAAGAAGGTTGTAAGGAGTTCAGAGACATGCAAGTGTAAAGAGATACTAAATTGCTTTAAATGTGTGTCAGCTACTAAAGGGCCCATATTACGCTGTTTTCTGATCTTTGTTATAATGTTTCTTCATCACAAACATACCTGGAGTTGTGTTTAGTTTCATTCACACACGTTTAACACACAAATCCTGCATATTAAGGCCGAGTTCTTTTCTCAAACAGAAAACACTCATCATATGGTAATGCAGGGAATGCTCCACTGTGTTTTTTAAACTCCATACACCTTCACTGGAATCATTTCGTTAATTTTAAGCCATGGAATTGCCAGTGTCTGCTCAACAAAAGGTAAATTGACTAATAATAAAAGATTACTCAAACATGTGTGAATGAAACAAAAACACCGTTCAAGTTATGTTTTTAAAAGATAACAATATTCTAATTTGGCTTAATGGACACAAGAGTCAATTTTGTGCCAATTTAAGATCTTTAGGATATTATTACTACTATACATATTAACTTGTTTCTATCACTCAGCCTAGTCATTTATCGCATCATTGTATCACAAGAACATTATCATGAATCATTACTTTTACTGAGGTGACAAGACATCTTTTCACACTGAGATTTAGACCCATCAGAAATACAAAAATAGCACTGGCATGTGAGACCAGACAAATTTGCATTAATGTTGCCATCTTCATAAACCATCTGCTGCATATATTTCTGGGTACAGTTATAGATCTGATAGATGTACAGTTCATCTAAGCTAAAACCAGCATTAACAAGAGTATTTTTCTCAATTTAGGGGAATGCAGTGTTCTAGTTTCAGCTTGTAAGCTATTATTTTCTCTATGTGTTTTAAAGCTCCCCAAACAATGTTTTGTCTACCCGTTTAAATATTTAGGAACGTTGTCTTGTGCCTTTACTTTGTGAGAAAAAGCTTACAGAAATAGATGACTGTTGGCGCAATGTTTTTCCAAGACTTCTTTGCAATGTTCATCGTTATTAGAAGTTTGTTGCTACAGAATTAAACTTACAGTGTTTTCCAGAAGGTGATCATGCCCCAATAGGGCGCAAGAGCCAGATTTCCCTGTTTATTACTTACAGTAGATATTTTAAACTTAGAGAAGATACGTTGAACCTGAACATTTCTTTTAGTGACTAAATCCAAGACATTTCTGTGCTGCAACAAAAATTTGCATTTTAACATAATCAATTTTAACTTCCCCTTATATGTATTAAATAATATTGTCCTATAGAATGTTGTGATGTTATCTGAAACCGAGCAATATACCCATAAAATAAAGCTGAGTAATTTTCTTGTATATGTATATTCCACAATTGCAGCTGATGTCATCAATATGAGCTGGGGTTGTGATGCTACCTGTAGGCTCTGCTCTGTCTAAGACTTTATTAGACTTTAATCTGTGCTTTTTTTTTTTTCTTACTAAAGAACTTAGTTGGAACTACAACATGTGAGCTGATTTGTGCTCACACATATAATTACAGATTCAAGACCATGAACGCTTGTATTGATCACAGGTTCTTGAAATCTATTTTGTATTTTTCTTGAGTTTTCAAAGTATCTTCAAATATTTTGGCAGTGTTTGCTAATGTGTAACTCCTAAACATTCCGCATAGGCAGCATGGAGATGACGCTTGCCTCTAACTTTATATTCAATCATTATTCAAAGCTTGATGTGTCAGTAATTCCTTTCAAACACGGCCTCCTAAGCTCTATACAGGCCATTCAGACACTGCTTGTATGTGTTTATGCATGTGTGTAGCCTTTCACTTAATCACAGCCACGTGTAAGCCGATCAATAGGCCCCTGACCCTCCCTCTGCCCTCTCTACTGTCTGAATGTATGTGCCTGTGCATGTGTGTGAGGCCCAGATAGGGAAAGAAAGAGAGCAGTGCAGAGTGTATGCTAGTTTGATTGGTTTTCTCTGAGCCATTTGAAGCTCTGAATGAGTTGATCCCCAGTTGCTATCTCAAGTCTCCAACCTTAATCCCACCATCTTTTCAATGCTGCAAAGCACATAGCAATGCAGCTGGATCTGCCGCACCTCTCACCCAGTCAACAAGCATTTACACCTATAGTGTGGTTCTCATTTGGATTTTATATTTTAGGTCTGGTTCTTTTAGCGTATTTTCCAATTGCAATTTACTGACATTTATAGAAATTTCAATTTGGTAATAATTCTGTCATTTCATATAACACGCCCACATGACATTTAAAACTAGCTCCTATAATGCATTGTCTTCACATTTTGAGCTATAGATTCCCCCTCTCCTCGTCAGCAGAACCAGTATTTTTGCACTCCGTTTCACAATGAGATAAATGCAGGACCCATGAACAGCAGAAGAGCAGGTTCAGCCATCCTGATGATTTGCAAAGCGTAGTGACGTTGGGAATTTGAGTATGGTCTATTAAAGCCTCCAGACTCGTATTTCTAAATTATAGCTTTGTTTAACAGTGAGGTGGCATGCTTCAAAGCGATGCTGTGCTCCTCGCCGCAGACTGCTTTGTCACCTTGTTTGCCACAGCTGCAACTATTTTAAACCCTTGGGGTGTAAAAATGCAAATCCTTGCACCTCAAGTAGCATTATGCTAATTGATGATATATAATACCTCACTGCTAAAGCATTTTAAATGTGTTCTAAGGTAGCTTGGCAATGCTTAAATCTCAAAACAGATGGGAAACCTGTTGTCTCCAATGGTGTTTTTGTTAAATTATGCATAACCCTTTGTCTCTCTCTCTCATTTAAAACACCCAGACAAAGGAACTGTATTGCTGTTTGTATGTTATGATCAGTGATGCCCATGAGAATGAGCTAGAACAACTTGTAAATACACTATGATGAGTGACTGTTAAATCTGCTGACTTCTTTAACTGCATATTTGTGCACTGGGATTAACAAGGTCATGGCGGGCTGCTACATAGACTCAAGCTTTATTTTGTTTGTAAATACTTCTGAAAGCCAACGCCTACAGAGGGACCAAACCATTATACACCCCTCATCTTGTATTCTTATTGTAGCTTTTTGTCTGTGATGGGGAAAGATAAATAAATATGCCATAGGATAAAAGTATAACAATAAAGCAGACTGGCAGGCCGCATTTCAGTATTTCATGTTACTTGTTGCTTACAAGCAAGCAAATGTCTTCGCATGGTAAAAAAAAACAAAAAACTAACCGTTAACGTCAGTAATCACAGTTTGTATTGTGATTAATAGTGTTAAATATTATTTTGCTATCACACATTGGAGAAAATGAAAATCTAGTAAATAATAAATCCTTCTATATCCCTAACAAAATAAGCCAAAATCCTCTGT